AAAATTTCCTACCAACTAAAAATATTAGGTGTGTCCCGCGCTCTCATATGACCTATGCAGTTGCGAGCGCCGTAAATCACTTTACAAAACAGAACTCTTATTTTGGAGCGATGACTACCTTGTATACTTTATAGTTGTTGTTTTTTTTAATCAACTCGTATTTTGGACCTTCAGTTGTTGTTATATGTGTTGTGCTATTGCTTTACATTTTATGCCAGCCAATCATCGTCTTGCAAAAATAAAAAGAGGGGTGCGGGGTGTCCGCTAAAAAAAGAGTTCGGGGCAAATGTTTTAAAGCAACCACACAAATCAATTATTCGTGATTGCCGTTTGTGAAGACGTCACAGAGCCAAGCAGAAAACTGTGTAAGAGAACACAGGTCAGGAGTGAACGAAATGAAATAAAAATCAATATCAAAAGCATTTGTACTTGGAACGAACGAGAAAGACCGAAAACCATACTATGTGTATGCGATTGGGGGAGAGGGGGGAGGAGGGGGAGAGGAGGGGAGGAGGGAGGGGTATGAAAGAAAAAGCGGACGGGGATGAGCCGCAAGTGTAGATCGATGGGGACACTCATGAGCCCCAGAGTGAATGATTCTTGAGGTGGAATTTTTTTGTAAACCCCAAAGCAAGTAAAGGCTTAAATAAAGCCCAAGGGGTAAAAACATAAAATTTGTACTTTCTTATCATCTGACTTTTCTACACTTCTCCTGCTTTCAACAAAGGCAAGAACCTTTCAGTCAAGGTAACCTACCAGGAGAACAATTAATCCATATTAAACGTTGTCATTCGAGTTGCCTAAACTGCTTCTAATTGGGTTATAGCCAATTAAATGTTTTTTTTACTTGATCATGCAAGCATTTCAGAAACATGTCACGGATACAATCCCCTCCCCCCTTTTTTTATAAGAAAGAAAGAAAGAAACAAAAGAAAGAAACAAAAAAAAAAGAAACAAGAAATGTCCGTATAATGCAAATATTGTATGGAGAATCACGTCACCTGTCTGCAGTTCATTGACATTAGGGGTAGGGTCAGACCGCACCAAGTAGAAGAAGAGCATTTTTTCGTTTGCTCTACATTTATCGTCCACAAAGTAACCGTTGTCGATATATTTACTGCCTTTTATTTTTTTTAAACGACTGTTTAGTTTGCGCTGCATTCGTCCACAAAGTTGTCTTTCTTCGTAATTCTTAGCCTAAATAAATTTTTTAAACAACATTGCTTGTTATTTGTTCGGAAATCTAACACCGACTCGAGGTATTTGGAGTTGTTTATACAGGTACTTTTTTTCTCTGCTCGGGCCGTGAATGTCGAGATGGGTAGGTCTACCTCAGCAAGTAGCTTAAGAAACGCGTTAGTTGCATAACAGTGCATTGTTAATACAATTTTTTTTAGATGGAGAAAAGGATGAAGGACATGAAATTGGTTAGTCTTCTAATTCAATTTAAACAAATTTGAAAAAAACCCAGAATCAACATATTTTCTGGTTTTTGGGCTGTATCTTGGTTTATGACTGTGCGCTTTCTGACCATTTTTTCGCAGACCACCACATAATGTTCATTTATACTCTATTGTTTATCTCTAAACGATTTTTTGCAAGGACACCATATTACTGAAGATTACTTTGAGAGACAAACTCATGAATAGGTCTAAAGACCCAGACCTCTGAAAATTGCCACAATACCAGTCCGATAAGTAAAAGATTAGCCGAGAAGTTATATAACATATTTATGCACCTGCTTGAGGTTTGTGATAACTGTTTAAAACACCATTTAATAAAAGCGCTACTACATAGCGGGGTTCAATCTTATTGTTTGTTTGTTTAGTATAGGGTTTTACGGCGCTCGCAACTGCATAAGGTCATATGAGCGCGCGGGACACACCTAATACTTTTTCGTTGGTAGG